AGAGGGACGATGGGTTGACTGCCTCTTAAGGGAGAACTGCCCACGAGGGCCCAGCAGTAGCCGTAGAAGTATTCCAAAATAATAACTAGGGAGCCAACATTTTAGAGACAATGAACGCTTCTGAGGCTCGCAGAGCTCCTCGTGTTTGCTGTGGTTGTCTCTGAAGCCGGTTCTGTTGAACAATGAGCCCTAAGACCTTGTAATAGAGGGACCTGCTTGTGTTTGGGGCAGGAGGGCAAGGTGAGTCCTGAGGAAACTGACACTCATATCAGAGCCAAGCCTGGCCTGGGGGTGGAGCAGGCGGAGAGAGAGACAGAAGGAGAGCCCAGAGGGTGGAGCTGTCACTCATCAGCCAGGGAGAGGACAGCTAAAGCAGTCCCTGTGCCCAGTGGGGAAACTGAGGTCCAGAACGGCCAAGGGTCACACGCAGTCAGAACTAGAATCCATTCCTCTGGGTAAAGCGGTATTATTTATTTATTTTTGGAGACAGGGTCTCGCTCCATCGCCCAGGCTGGAGAGCAGCGGCAGAGTCACAGCTCACTGCAGCCTCAAATTTCTGGGCTCAAGCAATCCCCCGACCTCAGCCTCCCAAGTAGCTAGCTTTGTCGCCGTTGTTTTGTTGTGGTTGTAATGATGAAGTCTCATGTATGTTACCTAGGCTAGTCTTGGTCTCCCGGGCTCAAGCCAACCTCCTGCCTTGGCCTCCCAAAGTGCTGGGAGGACAGGCATGAACCACTGTGCCCGGCCGCCTCACTCTTTCTAAGGGCTTCCCAGCGCTCCGTTGCCTGGATGTTCCATGACTGCTCTAGCCAGCCCCCTATGGATGAATTCTTTTTCTAGACAATGCTTTGCTCTCCCTGTACATCCCCATGTCCTTGTGTATACCTGTGAGTGTACATTTATTTCTAAAAGTGAAATTGTGATTTTCATTTTTGAGACAGAGTCTCACTCTGTTGCTCAGGCTGGAGTGCAGTGGCGTGATCTCAGCTTACTGCAGCCTCTGCCTCCCAGGTTCAAATGATTCTCCTGCCTCAGCCTCCTAAGTAGCTGGGATTACAGGTGTGCACTGCCACGCCCAGCTAATTTCTGTGTTTTTAGTAGAGATGAGGTTTCACCATGTTGGCCAGGTTTGCCTCACGCTCCTGGCCTCAAGCGATCTGCCTGCCTTGGGCTCCCAAAGCGCTGGGATTACAGGCGTGAGCCACCACACCAGGCTGCAATTGTGATTTTGGTGGATGTTGCCGCATTGGCCTTCATTAGAGGTAACCTCATCCTTTTGAACCAAAGCCTCTTCAGTGTAAACATGTAACCAATGTACCTAGTTAGAGGTAAGCATGGACCTGTGGTTTAGGATGCAGGAGGCAGCAAGGCCTGCTGCCCAGTGGCTCGGGGAGGGCTGACTCCAGCTGAGGGCTCAGAGGCAATACTGAGGTAGGTATATTTACTCCAGTTAATCCCTGAAGAAAGCATCACTGGTCCAGAACTTTGCAGTGTACAGAGTATACTTCTATTTCTGTGCACAATCAATCCCATTTAACCCCATTGATTGAGGAAGGGTGATATTACATATATATATATATATATATATTTTTTTTTTTTTTGAGATGGATTCTTGCACTGTCACCCAGGCTAGACTTCAGTGATGTGATCTCGACTCACCGCAACCTCTGCCCAGGTTCCAGTGATTCTCCTGCCTCAGCCTCCTGAGAAGCTGAGACTACAGGTGTGCACCACCATACCTGACTAATTTTGTATTTTTAGTAGAGATAGGGTTTCACATGTCAGCCAGGCTGGTCTCGAACCCCTGACCTCAAGTGATCTGCCCACATCAGCCTCCCAAAGTGCTGGGATCACAGGTGTGAGCCACCGCGCCCGGTAGTATTACTCATCTTTATCCCATTCTGTGGATAAGGAAGCTGAGGTCTGAATGAGGCCCAGGGTCTGAGGCTGCAGCTTTGAGGTGCTTTCCACCATGCCAGCTGCTTTCCCTTTCCTAGGCCACCCCTTCTACACCAAATCAACAGTGATTCTGAGGATCCACTGTATTGGAACCACTCACTCAGCTCCTACACACCCAGGAATGTGCAGTAAGATCAGAGGCGGGTAGGATTTGCCTCCCATGCATCCTCTGAGGCGGTTCCAGCCTGGGAGCTTACGGCTTCTTACTGCTCAGATAGGCTCCAGCACAGACAGCAGGGGCTGGCCTCCTTCCCACACAGCTCCTTGGCCCTAAGTAGAAGAGCAAGAAACCTAATTTACAAAGATGCTTTATCATCCAGACTCTGTTTGCTTTTTTTTTTTTTTTGAGATGAAGTCTTGCTCTGCCACCAGGCTAGAGTGTAGTGTCTCAATCTCAGCTCACTGCAACCTCCGTCTCCCAGGTTCAAGGGATTCTCCTCCCTCAGCCTCCTGAGTAACTGGGACTATAGGCACAAGCCACCACGCCCAGCTACTTTTTGTATTTTTAGTAGAGACGGAGTTTCACTATGTTGACCAGGGTGGTCTGGATCTTTTGACCTCCTGATCTGCCCTCCTCGGCCTCCCAAAGTGCTGGGATCACAGGCGTGAGCCACCGCACCCAGGCCCGTATTTCCTTTTTAGATGTGGATGTGTTCTGTTTTGGTTTTTCCTCTTTTCGTATTTTAGGATTTGTTGACGTTAAGTTCCGGGGCATGTGTGCAGGATGTGCAGGTTTGTCACGCAGGTAAATGTGTGCTCTGGTGCTTTGTTGCCGCTATGAACTCGTCACCTGAGTATTCAGCCCAGCATGCATTAGCTATTTTTCCTCATGCTCGCCCTCCTCCTGTTGTCCCTCCCCACACGGGCATTTTCAGCAACCTCCTTCCCCTCTTTTTCCCTGTTGTATTCTCAGATGTGATCACCCTGTGTTTGCAGTTTTGCATCCTGCTGTCTTCATTTATCTTAAGGTCACAGACCAGACAGGGTGGCTCCTGCCTGCCATCCCAGCACTTTGGGGGGCTGAGGTGGGAGGATTCCGTGAGCCCAGCTTGGGCAGCATAGCAAGACCTGGTCTCTACAAATAATAATAATTTTAAAAATTACCCGGCTGTGGTGACATGCATCTGCAATATCCTAGCTGCTCGGGAGACTGAGGCAGAGGATCATTGAGCCCCAGCAGTCGAGGCTGTAGTGAGCTGTAATTACACCACTGCGCTCTAGACCCTGTCTCAAAAAAAAAACAGCTCACACATACCACATGGCAGTTAGCCTCTGAGAAGGACCCCACCTCCTGGTATTCATGCCCCGTGTAATCTTCTCCCCTTGAATGTGTGACTAGACCAAGTGACTCACTTCCAAGGAACAGAAATGAGCAAAAATAAAGGGTTGTCACTTCCAAGAGCAGGTTACAAAGGACTGGGTGCCTTCCACGTTGCTTGCTGTTTCTTGCTTGCCCTGAAGGAGGCCAGCTGCCACATTGTGAGCTGCCCCGTGGAGGGGCCCACACATGGAGAAACTGATGGCTCCAGCATAGAGCCACAGACCTGGGCTGCAGCCTCGTGAGTAAGCTTGGAAGTGGGCCTTCTTCCAGTCAAGCTTTGAGATGGTCACAGGCCCAGAGCCAGAGGCACCAGTTAGGGCAGGCTGGCATTCTTGCCCTATGGGAACTATGCAATAATAAGTGCTTGCTATTTAGGACAGTAAGTTTGAGGGTAACTTGTTACTCAGCAGCAGGTAGCTAATACACATTCCATGGGTACCTTTTCCTACGGCTGGATATCAAGGCTGTTTACCTTTCATTATTACAAAATCCAATTTAAAAAAAAAAACTTTTTTTTTTTTTTTTTTTTTTTTT